TACGCCTTGTTATTTGACAAGGATCTCCCGGGATCACGGGCTACCAAACTAGCCATAAAAGGATCTCATACCGGGAAGATGAACCGTACAAATACCTACTTAAATACTATTTTTTGAGCTAAACTTAAATACTATATAGTCTCCCGCATCTCGCTAGTACTAATTTTGTGCATTGCTTTAGAAAATCTAACGAGGTTGCCCATGAGCTAACGCGGATGGCCAAGGGCCCTGTTAAGCAGCGCACAAACGAGGTTGCATAGGAATGCGACACATAGGGTCCACACACAACTGTCAGATGCATCAAACTTTTTTTTTTGTAATGCACGATGCAAAAATACGTGAAAAAGGAGCGAGCTTGTGAGGGTTCGAAGTTGTCACCTCGCACTCTTGAAGCGTGCTGCTAACCACTCGAGCTGACACTGGTGATTATGGGAAGCCACAATTAGATCATACAACAGTGTTGAGATTTCACAACATTTCTTAAAAATTGTGAACAATTTTAAAAAGCCGCAATATGTTTTGAAAAAAGGAAAATATTTTTTGCACTTCCAAAAAAATACGAAAAGTGTGCACATTTTTTGCAATTCCAAATTATTTTGCAAAACTTGAATGGTTTTTGAAAACATGAAATTTTTTTGAAATCCAGATTCTTTTTTCAAAACATAAAAAATTACTGAAAAACTGAACATTTTTTCCAAAGCACGAATTATTTGGAAAGCATGAAAATATTTTTGAAAAAACAAACTTTTTTAAAAATAACTAAATATTTTTTGATAATACAAATACTTTTAAATTTCAAATAATATTTGAAAACACGAATAATTTCTAAAATTCAGAACAAAATTTAAAGACACAAATATTTTTCGAAAATGCGAAAATATGTTTTTTTGTCTTTTGGAAATGAAACCTAAATTTAAAATTTTGTTTTTTTGGTAAAACAAGAAATAATTTTGAAAATTCTGAATAATTTATGAAATTATTATTTTTGAAATTTATGAAAATAAAAATATATGTAAAAAACAATGAGCAAAAAAATGAATGAATAACCAAAAAAAGAATGAAAATAAAAAAGTGAATGATAAAAAAAGGTAAAAAAACTGTCCTGACAACCTTACCCAGAACGTGTTAAAAGGTTCCCGAAACCGAACAAACGAGGTTGGGTCTGCCCAGTGCGCTGGACCCTCTAGGTCGTTAGCAACTAACCGATGAGCACTCGTTCCCAGCCTTCTGAAGGGTTATTTGGGTATTGCCTTGGCGCGCTCTCAGCCGCCGTAATATGTTGCGTTCTGAATGTTTTCTCTGATTTTTTTTTTCTGCATGCGTTTTCGGCCTTTTAGATGGTTTTTTTTTCGGATTTTTTTGGCATTTTGGTTTTTCACCAATCTTCCTTAGCTTATGGAACAAAAAAGTCGGGGAAAATTTTTGCGCGAAAAAATATGTTTTTCCCCTTTCGTGACAGGCACAATTTTGCTTCCGCGAAAGCCATGGTCGTCCCTCTTGGAAACAAAAAAAAAATATGTTTTTTTAAAGGGTTACAATTTTGATTCCATGAGAAGCACGGCCATGCTTTTCGGAAAGGAAAAAAGACGTGTTTTTTTCTTCTTCTTCCGCGAAAGGCAC